TAAGGTCATCTATCTGTACCTATACACAAGGGCTCTTGTCTTTTGCTAGATATCTATGTAGGTGAGAGTGACTGTGAGAAGCACTTATCTACGGGTGTGTACATGCTCCCTTAAAAGTTGGTAATTGGAGCATTGTGAAACAAAGGTGGACCACAAGTCACCAGAGGTATGTATGTATGTAGTGTAAACAAATTATTCTCCCACTTGCGGGAGAATATGATCTTAAACACATTAAGAGCTTTTTAGTTTATAGTGCTAATCATTCTCAAAACATTTTTAAAAGAGAGAATGGAATACTTATTGAACAACTAATACGTATTAAGTACCATGTTAGGTACTTTTAATCTTTACAGCTAATCAGAGAGGTACTAATTAACCCAATTTTATGGATGAGGATTTGGGATTCTGCAACATCATAAAGTGGTAGAGCAGTCTGATTTCAGAGCCTGTAATTTCATCCTCTACCACAAAGTCACAGCTGAAATGTGAGAAGATTTCTTCAAGAAATTTTTAAAAAAGAATAAATGAGTATTCAGTTAGATCTCAGTCCAGCTCTTGGAGATACGGTGTTTTAGCTTTTTTATTAAGAAAACTCACTTCACATTGTATTTGCATGTAAAAGGAGTTATGGATGTTTGCTTATGGCTCAAAGCCAAAAGTTGAAAGGTCTCTGGGCTTTGGCTTACTTGCAAACTGTACTAATCTCACTACAGAGAATAGTGTTTCCTTTTCTCTGGGCTTCAATCACTGAGATCCTCTTTGCCTGCATTCCACCTATAGGACGACATTGCTCTCCATTCAGCCTCCATTCCACTCGCGAAGCCCTTCACAGGTGGCCCATCCATGCCCTGGTCTTAACACCCGTAACCTGCTGCCAGGTGGAGCACCCTCAGGCACTCACTGGACCTGACTCATTCTCTTCTTTGTCTACCCCGACCCACATTCCATTTTTTTTTCCTGTCTTGGCTACCCCGGTGAGAAATCTGGAGTCATTTTGGACATCCTTAACCTAAATACCTTCGCATTGAGTTTTCCTCAATCACTGTCAAATGCATTTTCTTTTTTCCCCCATTCCTTCTGCCATTGCTTGGGTTTGTCATGGCTCTCAACCACCTGTCCCCTGAGCAACTGGCAGCAATTGGTCTCTGGCCTCCAACTAAAGTCCCTGTCAATATGCATCTGCCACCTCCGTTTGTCATAAACAACTCTCCATTAAGGAAACTATACCATCAACTTCTTCGGCTGAAAACCCTGTCTGGTTCCTTTTGGTTTGGGGATAACAGGCCCTACACATTCCAGCTGCTATTTTTTTCAGTCACCTCTCCTACTTCACACTTCAACATTAAAAAATTCCGTGTATTAAAGTTTCCAGAAGACATCTATTTTAGACCTCTCTGCCTATAACAGAATAGATGTGCTTCTATTTCAATTATCTTGCTGATGCTTATTATTTTTTCAAGAAATTGGTCTGCTCAGTCTTTGAGGGATCCGCCTTCTTTAGAACAGTATTCTTTGTGCCATTTCTGTTCTTCTTTATTGTCCTGACACTGATTTTCTCACAAGAGTGTCTCCCTTTCCTAGGCTGTCAGACATGAGGCCAGCACAATGCCTAGCACACAGTGAGTGTTCAGTAAATGTCTGACTTCTTAGATAAATTACATTAAAATGCCACTATTGGGTATCAGATAAAAAAATTTTAAGTCCACATGCAAGACAATCTTACCTGGATAATGTTCTTGCTGTCTGTACAGATAAGAATTCTCCTTGGACGTTATTTTCATGACCATGTATTTGTCAAGTACTCAGTACAACCTAACAACCAATTGTAACAAGTGACACCCAGATTGGATTCTAAACTTAAAATTACACCTGTTGCTGGACACAGTGGTGTACACATGTAGCCCAGCAGTACTTGGGAGGCTGAAGCAGGAGGATTGTAAGTTTGAGGCTAGCCTGAGTCACAGTGGGAGACCCTGTAATGTGTGTGTGCGTACACGTGTGTGTCATATATACACATGTATATGTATATGTGATATTCCTGAGACAATTAGAGGAAATGGATTTTACAAAAGGTGACCTCATTAAATCAATGGAATGATGACGGTGTTGTAGTCAGCTAGAATGTCCTTTCCCTCAGGTAGTAAGTACATGCTGAACTTAGGGAAAAAAACTTTAGGATTATAACTTATTGTCAAAGAGTTTATTTTCAAATAACAGGTATATTCTGAGCGAATGTAGCAAAATGTCAACTGATAAAAAAGCCTGAGTGTTCTTCGTACTAAACTTTCAACTTCTTGAAGTTAAAAAAAGTAAAACATTTGGGGGAAAGGCTAAGAACACAATTTTTAAAATCAAATCTTTTGAAATTCAAGTGTTGTTAGGGCTCAGAAAATACAGGCCAAAGCACAGGCTTCGGAGGCAAAGTTTCTAACCTTCTGCCTTCCTAGCCTCCTGCCTTCCCTCATCCTCCCAGAGGCAAGCCATAGGAACCAGAATTCCTGCTTCCCAAGCCAGGTTGTAGAAAACAAAATTCCTTTTCCCCAAATCCAGCCATAATAATCTAAAAATATTACTCTAACTCTCCCTCACCTTTCTGTGTGAAAGCTGTGCCCAGGCTGGCCTTGAACCATGATCCTCCTGATCTCAGCCTCCCAAGTAACTAGGATAACAGGCCCGAGCCACTGAAGCCTGGCTTGGCCTATCTTGGATTGTAAGTCAGAGAATTGTAAGTCCTTCCAGAGCCCAGGGCAAGGAGGATAATGTCTGTAACCTCAGCAACACAAGAGGTGGAGACAAAAGGATCCCAAGTTCAAGGCCAGCCCAGGGAGAGTTACTGACACCCTATCTCAAAAGCAAAATACAAACAAAAGGACTGAGAGTGTAGCTCAAGTGGTAAAGCACTTGCCTAGCAAGCGTGAGGCCCTGGGCTCATAAAAAAAAATAAAAGATCCCCATTCCAGAAAGTTTCCTTCCCATGTCTGGAAAGAATGTGCACAGTCAGGTCAAGAAGAATCTGGACCGGCTTTCCTGGGGTTTCCCCCTCTGCCTCTTTCTTCTCTGTCACCTTTCTTTGTCTAATCACATATCTGTCTGTATAACTGACCTTGCTTCATGGAATCTAAACATAAAAACAGATAACTCACCCTGGTTCTTTGTTCTTAGTTTGGACTCCCTTGTCATATAGAACTATGATCACATGAATGTTATGCTTTTCTCTCGTTATCTCACCTTTTGTCATGGGGTGTGGATCTTTAACAATAGCAGGAAAAGAATCTCTCCTTCCCGCCCCCCACATTGTCAGCTTTGCTCTTGACCTCTCTCCTTCCTAAACCTTCTGAAGAGTACCTTCTGTTGTCTTACTCACACCATGAAGTCACTGCATTTTTTGTGTTTTAAAGATGAAAGGCACAGTTGTCCTTCAAAAAGCACTTTTCAATTTGCTCTCCTAGATGGCCAATCATTGCCAGTCTGTTCATTTTTATTTACCTGAATGATAGCACATTCTGCTTTCGAAGCTTAAGCAAATAAAAATATGCTTCCCAATTGCTACACGTAATTCCTAGGGATCAACCATCAGATTTTCCTCTGGGAAAATTTGAGGTAATAAGGAAGCAACAAGGGTTGGGGCAAGCAGTTTTACTCTAATCCTTTCAGAATTGGCAAGTTTCTGGAAAGTGCAGGTTATTTTTTATTGCTATGAAGGTGACAAGAACTTAGCCCTCCAGGGTGAATTTGATCAAAGTACGTATATAATGTACATATATAAAGTACATAAGCATATATTGTAGAAAGATATTTCCATGGAAATATCACAGTGAGACCTCTTTCTACAATATATGCTTATTTTAAAAAGACAAAAAGGAACTTAGCCCTCTTCTTATATTTCCATTATATTCATATAAAAATTAAGAAAAAATCATTTTTTATTCTGATTTCAGAATTAACAAATTTAGGTACATAATCAAGAGAAATGAAAACATGTGGCCACACAGAAACTTGCTCATGAACTGGAGGGAGCGGCTCAAGTGGTAGAGTGCTTGTCTAGCAAGCACAAGTCCCGGAGTTCAAACCCCAGTCCTACCAAAACAAAACAAACTTACTCATGACTATTCAGACTAGCATTAGTCATCACAGCCAAAAAGTACAGACATCTCAAATGTCTGTCAATGGGCAAATGAATAAATGCTATGTGGTAGAGCCATGCAATCCTCAGAAAAAGGGATGAAGTACTGATAATGCACTACAACACGAGTGACTTTTGAAAACATTTCTTGAAGGTGAAGCCAGACACAAGAAATGTCCAGAACAAGCAAATCCTAGAGACAAAACTTTTCAGTGTTCGCCTTGGGCTGGAAGCAGAGGGGTCAGGAACAGTGGAGTGATTGCTCATGGGTACAGAGAATGTCCTAAATTAGTTGGTGGATATAATTACACAACTTTGTAAATATAAAAACCAGTGAACTGTGCAATTTAAATGGGTGAATTATATATCATTTTTTTAAAGTTAATGAAAAGCAACTTTCTATCTGATCCCATTTTTAAGGAAACTCAAGAGAGCCCAGGGGCACGCTGAGTATGACTATCTCAAAGTCACCATTGGCCAGAATGAAGAGTGACCCAGACTCTGCATGTGCTGGCAAAGCTCCCCTCCCAAGTCCTCACAGAAGAACCATACTTTGCACTGGCATCTGTATGGCTGATCTCAGCATGCCCTTATTCCTATTCACCCCAAATTCCAGCACTTCCTCCAAGGCTGACTCTCACACAAGACTCACATCCATCTCCACTTCATTTTCTTCAGTGTACTTACTATCTTTATTCATCTCTGTCCAATTTTTGGCTTTGCTAAAATTTCTAGGGAATGAATAAGCTTGGAAGAAAAACAGAAATTATAACGGATATTATAACAGATGAAGATTTGTGTTTCAAAATGTGTTTTATTCCATAAAAAAAGATGTTCTCCACTTAAAAAGATATTTACTTTTTGAGATTATCTTGCACAAATGGCATTTTATTACAGATAACGATCTAATTTACAAATCTTTATGTATTTCAAGGAAATATTCAGGCACTGCAAATTTTCAACATGTAGAATACAAATTTACAACAATAAACACAGAAACTTATTTTTGGATGACGTGGTTATTTCTGCACTACCTTTAATTCCTTATCCAGAGTCCAAAGAATGTAGGCAAACCCTAAAAATGTAGCAGAAGCACTTCCGCACACTGGTTCCATAATCTAGTTTGTGCAGAAATGTTTCCACTAGATTCATAGAGTAATCTTTGGAAGAAAGAAGCAAGAACTGGTCATCTGGTCACCCTTCGAACCTTCTGCAACTCTTCGACAGGCTTCCACTGTTGGTTGATTGTTATAAGCTTTTAAAAAAAAAAAAAGGAAATACGTTTTTGTGTGTGTGGTGGGGTGGAGTTTGAACTCGGGGCTTTACACTCGCAAAGCAGGTGCTCTACCACTTGAGCCACACTTCCAGTCCACTTTGTTCTGGCTATTTTGGAGATGGGGTCTTGCGAACTATTTGCCAGGACTGGCCCAGAACCACAATCCTCCTGATCCCAAGTAGCTAGGATTACAGGTATGCACCACTGATGCCCAGCTAATAATTTTTTAAGGATCTGCCCTTCACTCTCACATCCCCTTTTGGGATTTGTCCACACTTCCTTTAGGAAAAGCATACTAGTATTTATAATCAAAGAGCTACCTCTTCCCATCTCTAAAACATGTACAAAATACTAACCTAGGCTGAGTTGTACCACTCCATCCTTCTAAAAAGTGTTACGAGATCAGAGAGAACAGTCATACTTTCACTGGCAGTCTCCAGATTTTTTAATTTGCCAAGATAGCATGTGACCTATAAGTTCAAAAGTACAATGTCCCTAGCACGGTGCTCGGCACACAGTAGGCACCTAATAAAATTTCCTCACTGCAGTTGCTCAATGAAGGCACAGATGATCTAAGTTACACAATTAGGGAAAAGGAAGAGAGCCATGAACAACTCCTGATTTCCAAGAAACTCACTTGGAGTGACTTATCCTCACTCATGGTGCATTATCCCAGGACCCAGGAAATGAAGGTAGTTATAAAGACCATGAATGTCCTTCACTAGGTCAAACTGTTACCTGAGAGTTTTGTATTTTTGTTTTAAAAGTCTTTGCCGACAGTCCTAACTAGTGTTGGGACAGACAGACCTAATGTGTGTAGCTTCCAAAATACTTAAAATTAAAAAAAAAAAAACCAAAATACTTAAAATGTACAAGTACATTGTACAAAGTAAAACCTCTGCAATAGTCTTAAAAGAATTAATAGATATTAGGTTCATTTAAAGAGGATCTATTATTTATCTAGGAGCATCTATTATTTATCAAATACACCTTATATTAACTTTATTTATTTATTTATTTTTGTGGTACTGGGGCTTTCACCTTGAGCCACTCCACCAACCCTATTTTTTATGAAGGGTTTTTCCAGATAGGGTCCCTCAAACTACTTGACCAGGCTGGCTTTGAACCGAGATCCTCTTGATCTCTGCCTCCTGAGTAGCTAGGATTACAGGAGTCAGTGGTGCCCGGCTTAACTTTAGATAATAGAAAAAATGAGATAAAAGTATTCCAGTAATAGTAAAAGTTTATATTTGAGTACTAACTATGCACTAGGCACTGTGTTAAAAGGCTCTATGTATTTTATTTTCTTTAATTCTTTTAACTTATAAAGTCGCCTGTAAATAATTGAGTAAGGACTTGGACTAGATCTCTAAAACTCTATACTATTTTCTTTTAATTTATTATTACTATTATTATTATCATTATTGCAGTACTGGGGTTTGAACTCAGGACCTTGTGCTTGCTGGGCAGGCGCTCTACCACTTGAGCCACACCCCAATCCTCTACACTATTGCTTTTATTACTAAATGAAATTGTACTCTGTAAGTATAAGGTACTAAGTCTACTTTTCTGACAAAAGTGTTATGGTCTGGGTTAAATGTAAATACTTATTATAAACTTAGCAATACCTTTTGAGGTACAGTAGGATCCACAGTTTCCCAAGGTTCTGGATTTCTTTTCCGGTCAACACTAAAAATAAAAGGTGGCTAATTAAAGTAAGTACATTTAAACTAACACTGATTATAGAGTCTGTGAACTTGCTAAAGACAGCCCTAGTATCCATACTTAGGCTTTCCTCTGTTAGCGAACTATTTGAAACCACCAGTAGTAATTGAAGTTGATGCAAAAAAAATCCACTAAAGTACTGTCATAATTTGGTTCAAACACTAAATATCAGTTCCTCTGCAGGTAGATCTGTTCTCATTGGGCTAGACTGCAGAATGCTCCCAGAAACAGCATAACAATAGGGGTGGAATTGCCAGGCGAAGGACAAGCATTAAGGATCTTACCAGGTTTCTGGGAAGGGCCAAGCCTACTTGAACTCTGTGTGCTATTAACTCCGGGGCACTGGTCCCCTCTTGCCAGCAGTCAGAGTTATTGCCCTCTCCAGCCCTCCACAGGACACTGCTGGTTTCACACTTATCTCTGCTTCATATTCCAGGAAATATGTTTTTTGTTTAACCTTCTTTTATCCAAAGTTGAGATTAGGGTTCGTTACAGACAACTTGATGTATCAATTTAACCATACTAGGAAAGATCTTTCTACTAAGTTGAAAATTTAAAACTTAAAATGATTAAGTTTGAGGATACATATCTCCCAATGTAATTTAAGAACTTTAAATTTCAAAACCTAAGTTTAAAAAGATGAACTGCAGAAGAATAGGGGAGGGCCAAAGAATGAAAAGATATTTAGACATAAGAAAACAGATGTCCTCAATATCATAATTTAATAGCCTTTCTGATATCAGGATGCTTTTTAAACCTGATTCCAAGTCCACACGTTAACATTCTTTTTTTGACCTATGATTGCATTTTTTACTATTTTCTATTAATAAAAGTTAGCAGTACAAGGGGGTTTCATTGTGATAATCCCATAGATGGATTCTGAACAGTGTATTCTAAACAAGTTCGCCCCATCTATTGGGAAAAATCCCAGGAAACTGATATTATTCCAGAAACAGAAAGTCAACTAATCACCATCAAAAACGTTTTTACACATTGAAGCCTACTTACATGACGTCGGTTTTTTTCAGAGAATATAAAGCAAACGATGAGGCTCCACCCGCTGCCACAGTCATGATCACCGCCAAAGGAATGAGCTAACAGATAACAGATTGGGGGGAAATTCAATATGAAACCTCTGAAATACAGCAAAATAACTATACATCACTTTTATATTTTCTTCCAAGTCCGCACTGCACCTTTTCATCTTTAAAACCGTAACACCTGGAGTCAAAATTTTTCAATGGCTTTAAAAACTTACTTCCTTCTTTTTCATCAGGGTTTGGAAAACGCCCATGGTGACTTCAATGTAGAATGCCAAATCTAGAGAAAAAGGAAAATAAATAAAAAAGCCAAGCTATTGATAAAACGTCGGCCACTAGGACTCAACCCCACCAAACCCCGCCAAGTTCAAGGACCCGCAGCGCCGTTCTCACCTGCAGCGAGGCGAGCGGGACGACGCGCCGAGGATGCTAACGCCCAGAGCCGAGCGGGTCCTCGGCCACCCCGCCTTATATACGTACAGCCCGCAACCGCTCCGGAAGGGCCGGGCCGGCGTTCGGGTCACGCGGGCCGCAGGGAGCTTGCGGGACCGGACTTTTGCGCTCGGCGCCCGGCTCCTGAGCGCCCCCTGCAGGCCGCCGAGCACACAGACGCCGGGCAGGTGCAGGGGCGCCGCCGCCGCGGACCGAGGTCCTTACCTGTAGCTTTAGGGGATCTCGGTCACCCCAGTGCCGGCAAGGGGCCTGCCTGGGAGGTTTGGGTATGGAAAGGGAAAGCTGAGAGCAATCTGATGGCCAATGTCTGGGTGGAAGAAAACCAACCCTTTTAAAAGGGAATCCTAAAAAAAGTTGACAGAGGTAGGAGTCCCAGGATTGACTGCCCCCCCCCCCCCCCCGCCGCAGCCTGAGCCTCAGGGGAGGATCCCTGGTGCAGGAGGTTAAATTAGAATCAATGCGATGCAGCGCACATATGAAGATAATTGAAATTAAGTTGTAAAGTTCATTTCAGAAAACTCCCAGGATGTCCTGATTTTTCCATGGAGAAAAAAAAAATCAAGGTTGAGGGAGAGGAAACAAAATTCAACTGGAAAAGTTCCCCCGCCCAAAAAAAAAAAAAAAGTATTTCTACGCATGACTGTCGGCTGGCTTTGTCGCTGGGTCCCCTCCTAACTCTCCCCTAAGACAGCAACCTCACTTCGCAGTTCCTTCTGGAAAAAATAATTCCACTAAGCCAGAGGCTGTGTACCAGACACTGAGCCTCATTCTTCTGACATGTTTACATGGAGGGTTCGTTTAAGACGCAGAGGAACTCAAGGTAAATAGCTAGAGATGGCGGAGATGCAATCACAGCGCAGGTCCTCCCGCCCAACACCAGCTCTCCTGCACCTCTCTCTGCTACAGCTATTGTCAAGAGCAGAACCTGGTTACTTAAAAACGACTATCCAAAAACAGAAGTTCAAACTGCAAGATGAAACTAAAAGAGAAACTTTTTTTTTCTTAAGTTTTGCTATGTAGCCCAGGCTGACCTGGACCATCCATACTCCAGCCTCAACCTCCCAAGTGCTGGGATTAGAGGTGTGCACCACCATACCCACAAAAAGAGAAACCTTTGAACATTTCCTAGAAACAGAAGATCCGGTTCTATTGCAATTCCATTTGAATTACGAACATGGGCTTGCAGTCAAATGAGCCTGAGTACAAAGCCCACCCCTGCCACCCTTATTTGCTGATTTGGAGTAAGCTACTTAACCTTCATGAGTTGCATTTTACGTATCTGCAAAATGGGGATAAACCTAACTCAGGTGGGAGTGGGGGGAAATTTTACAGTGTATGTAGTTTTTGTTTTGTTTTTTTGGTGGGACTGAGGCTTGATCCCAGGGCTTTCCAGTAGCAAAGCAGGTGCTTTATCACTTCAGCCATGCTTCCGGTCCATTTTGCTCTGATTATTGTGGAGATTGGGTGTCTCAAACTATTTGCCTGGGCTGGAGTTGAATCACGATCCTCCCAATCTCAGCCTACCGATTAGCTAGGATCACAGGTGTGAGCCTACCGCACATTCAACAAAATTTTTATGTAAGGCAGATCAAAAATGTGTTTCCACCCACTTCCTCTGGCTTATTCTTATTGTGCAATCCCAGAACTCTTGCCAGAGACATTTGCCACATGAGCTACTTCAAAGAAAATTCAACATGAATTCTTTTTGGTTGTGCTATGTCAGTCAGAGGAGCCTTTTAATGCTTCTGCAAGATTTCTAAGGCTACTTTTGTCAGAAGATTCTTTAAAAGTCTCATTTTGTTAACAAAGTTTCTCTAGAAAGGAAAGAAGCATAGAAGGAAAGAATAAACAAAGGGAAAGGGGACAAAAGGGAGAAAGAGAGGCAGGAAGAAACCTTACAGGAATGAATCAAATTTAAATTAAAATATGTAACTCTTGCCTACCAATGACCTCAAACTCAAAGCCATGCTTTGCAAATGTCACTTCTTTTTGAAATGTAGTACTGGTTTGTAGTCGTCTAGACGTTATGGTAGGGATGGAGTCATGATGAAATTATAAAAACAAGACACAAATCCCTTCAAGGTGCTTACAATTTATACCCATAAATATCTCTAACTCAAGACATGATGTGGTTCCAAAGACAGGTGATTAATTCTGATTAAAGAAGACTGAGAAAATTTACCAAGGGTGAGAACGCTTTTTTGACCACAAAAATAGAAAAATAACCATAAAAAGACAGGGTTTTTGGTGGGGGGGTTAGGAGGGGGTTGGAGACATTTAAATAAAGCCCAGACATGAGAAAATATTGAAAGAATATGGACGCACTTCTTGATTTACAATGGAGCTACATCCAGATAAACTGTAAGCTGAAACTGCCTGTGATACACCTAACCTACAAACGTCGCAGCTTAGCAACACAGTGCACTGCAGAATGTAGGTTGTTTACCCTTATGATGGCACAGCTGCCTGGGAGCCGCTGCCCAGCATACAAGACAGTATCACACCACTTATCACCAGCCTGGCAAAGATCAAAATTCACAATTTGAAGAACAGTTTCAACTGAATGGGTATCACTTTCCCACCGTCACAAAGTTGAAAAAAAAATCATGGGTCAAAATGAGCTGGAGAAAACATAAGAGGACAGGAAAAGGAAAAATAAATAAAAAGAAATATCCAAATAAATCTGTCTACATTGTGCCGTGTTTATTCCTGCATGCAGAACTCACACTCCACCCAGAGAAATCCCACAGAGAACTGCAAACAGCTTAATTAAAGCACTGGACCTTGAAAAGAAAACATGTTAAAATATCCCTAGCAACTTCAAATGTATTTCTGTAAGATAGTAAGCAAATGATTAGGCACCATGGATTTAACTCCTTTACTGTCTGAAGTCACAAAAGCACTAAGATAAAATCTTTTAGGTAAGGCTATGAGAAAGGGCTATGAGAAATTATTTGGGCCGTATGGTAGAACAAAGAAATCCAGTATAGATTAGGATTTCAAGAAGGCAGCCCCAAAAGGTCTGAATGCTCTGCTAAAGACAGAAGTGTGTCACATTCTCACCTACATGCTACCCTGAGTGTGCTTGCTTGCAAATAAACAATTTGTCCCTGAATTGTTTCTTGCTACTGAGCCATGATGGGGAGCAAGTTGAGGTCCCTGCCCCTCCAAGAGGACTTCCTCCGTCCTCACTCCCAGTAGGAGTGACATTCTTATAGTGACTCCCCCAGGACCACAACAATATGAGAGATTTCCACACACTCATGGGAAGTTTATTTAAAGGCTTTTTGACTTTTACCTCGTGTTTCTACAATTAACTCTTTTCTTTGATTTTCTGGGTCAAACCACAGTGCATGAGTGCTTGTTCTTAAGAGCAGGGTTTTCCCTAGGTAGGATTCATACCCCACCTCTGGGTTAGATGAAACACTAAAGGCTGTTCAGGAAGACATCACCAAGTCTAATCCACTGTGTACTACGTTCATCCTTGTCTCCAAAGACAGGAAAGACCTATGTTAGGACAGACTGACACAATGTGACAATCACAGAAGCTAGTCCTAGACAAGTGCCTTTGTGATCCACAACAAATAGAATTGTGACCCAATCCTATGACCTTTATCCTTGCTATATGACTGTCTCTCCTCCTGTCCCATGTTCCCACTTTTTGCTGTAATGCAGAAGAAATTAAATAAGCTGTCTGCAAGCTCTTGCTTATCTGAGGACACTTGGCTCCCTAGATCCTTTTCTGTTTTCATACCCAGATTCTAACATTTATTTTTCATTCTTATTTTTAAAATGGTTTGAACAAGAAGTTGTTAGTCTCTTGGCCCATTTCATTTATATCCTTTATCTATATTGCCCCAGAGGGAAATGTCCCATTTGTTTGAAATCTGATAGGACTTTGACATACTTGTCTTTGTATTGGTTTGATTTGACAGATAAACTTACTGCTCTTCCCTAGGGTTCTGCTATCAGCATAATTCAGCATCTTTTATTCTGTGATCCACCTGAATGGTCATAGGCAAAAACTGCAACTCAGTAGAAAATGATAAACTTAATCCCTGAGATTTTTATATAAGCACCATCCCCTCTAAAAATCATCTCTAAAAATACCCTAATGGGACCTTATATATGTTAAAGATACCAGTGAAAATCAGAGCTGCCCTGTTTGTTGATGAGACCAGAGAACAAGAACATTGCTGTCAAGGAAAGATAAGAGCGCTACCACTCTGCTTGCTGGAAGCAACTTTAGGAGCTGTCAGAAAGGGGCAGAGTGTGCTTATTGCACACTTGGGATATTGGGACTCAGTGTTTTATTTACTCAACATCCTGGTAAGTCTGGGATGAAATCGCTCACTGAAGAATGGGGACCTCTTCCAAACAGTAGATGGCTAGAGGACAGGTTTATATAACCTAATTCAGAATATAAAAGAAACGGACTATAAAGTTCTTGTCTCTTTCTCTTTTCAGACCCAAGCAGAACTGCATCAAGGAAGTGCAGCTTTAATAGACAAAATGGGTAATTCAACCTCAATTCCCTGGAAATCTCCACTAGGATACCCAAAAATTTGAATTTATTTGAGGGGGAAGGATTAAAGAACAGATCTTCCATCATTAAGCAATACATGACCATATTCTAATCTCGAATTGTTGAGAAAAATTCTGTGGGGGTGGTGAGGAGGGAGGCAAATATGGCAAAATGTCAAAAAAAAAACCATGCTCAGTCTAGGCTGGGCTTGGTAGCTCACACCTACAATCCAAGCTACTTGGCAGGGAGACAGGAGGATTGCAGTTCCAGGCCAGTCAAGCAGAAAGTTAGCAAAACCCCATCTCAAACCAATTTGCTGGGTATAGTAGTACAGGCTGTCATCCCCAGCTATATGGAAGTGTAAACAGGATTGTGCTCCATGCCTTCCCAGGCAAAAATTTCCATCCTATTGTGAAAGTAACTAAAACAGAAAGGGCTGAAGGCATGGCTTAAATGGTAGAGTGCTTGCCTAGAAAGCGTGCAGCCCTGAGTTCAAACCCCAGTACTGAAGAAAAAAAGAAAAACTGGCGAATCTGGGTTTGAGAATACAAGAATTCTTTGTACTATTCTTGCAACTTTTCTGTAAAGCATGAAATTATTTCAGTTACAAAAGAAGCAATCAACCAAAACAATTACCTTATGAAATCAATCCCCCCCACGCACACACTTTTCTCCTAAATTACAATATTTTAATTTACCTTTCAGAAATAAGATAAACCTTAATTCATCAGACACACGTTTGCTTTGTTTTTGTTTTTTATTTTATTTATACAAAATACACACGTGAACTCTGAAAGTATAAAGTTGCAAACTATAGGCAAGTTTACGTTTCAATTAATGTGAACAACTCAACATAGATGTAATTTTTAAATATCTTCCAAATTAGAAAACCCTTCTCTCTTAAATAAGTTTTCATATGAGGTCAAGTCCTTCTGGCTTAGGGACGGTCTCACAGTCTTGAGTGACTTCAAGAAGTGTTGTTGCTCCACTGCATTTGCTTCCAGCCCATCTTCCTGCAGAGCCAGCAAGGCAGCCTTCAAGACACAAGCAAAGGAAACAAGTGTATTTGCTTCATTTTAAAATTAACACTAGATGGTAATACTTTAAAATCTGAATGCAAAACCTCAGTTACATTTCATAGGATTCCAATGTTTGAGTTGTTAAAAACATTAAGCTAGGGCTGGGAATGTGTTCAAGTGGTAAGAGTGCTTGCCTAGCAAGTGCAAGGGCCCTGAGTTCAATTCCCACTACCACCACCAAAAAAAAAAAAAAAACCATTAAGCCAAAAGTTAAAGTGATTAAAAAAGAAAATCTACTTAGTAGATCATAATTTCCCTTACATTAAAAATTTAGCCTTCAATGAGAAAAAGCAAAAGCACACTGAGTATGAATCCATGTATTTTTAAAGATAAATGACCTCAGAGAAGGAAAGTTTCAGAAAGTACTGATGATCATAAAGGAAAAGATCAAACACCCTATGACCCAGTAATTCTCCTCATAGATACATACATGTGTGACACAGCTATAGCTGCACACCTGTACCAGTAGCCATGTGCAAAACTGTTCATAGAAAAACTCATAACAGCACAAAAGCAGAAACCTAAATGTTCAAAAATTTGAGAATGGATAAGTAAACGTAGAATATTCACATACTAGAACATTATAAAGCAATAGAAACAAACCACAACTATACACAAAACCCTAGATAAATTTCAAACACCATTTTGAGTTAAAGAAGTAGACAGAAAGTACCATACACTATGGTTCTGTTTATAGGAAGTTCAAAAGCTGGCGAAACTAGTCTCCAGTGTTAGGAGGCAGAAGAGGATATAGGGTGGAAAAGAGTCAAAAGGAAGATTGTAGAATGTTGGTAATAACCTATTTCTTGACACAAGTGGTGGTTATAAAAGTGTGATCACTTTACATTAATTCAATAAACTATATCCTTATGATCTGTGCATTTTTCTGCATTATATATTTAGCAAAAGCTTAGAGAAAAGGAAAAACATACATGGCTTATTCTGCCCTCAAAACAAAACCTAAACACCTTCAGGTGACTTACAAGGATCTAGCAATCTGGCTGCTGTTCACTTCAGGTTTAGTTATTACTATTCTTCAATCTAAGATTCAATAGTGCCATATTATCTCTTATCTGCATTTTACTCCCTCTGCTTCACACTGTAGCCTTCTTTCTCTGGCTAGCTAACTCCCTGAGCAGCATTCTAATTTCAGGTTGCATATCCCCTCTCAGAAAACTTTCTCTGACGTTCCCAAGTCCAATGTCCTTCCTAGTGCTCCCACAACACCCTAAGCTTTCCCAATTCAGTATGTATTTTTAATTGCCCACTGAGTGTTAGGATTTGCCATCCTGTGTACCTCCACCACCTGTATGCTCTGTGAGGAAAGAGGCTGCACTTGTCTGTTTCACATTGCAAGGCACTTGTCACATGGAAGTCTTCTGAGTGAAGGAAGATTTGAATAGATGAAGAAATGTTTTGAGCCACAGATTATTTCATTAATTAACTTACTTCTTTGCAGAGATTTTTAAGATCAGCTCCAGAGAAAAAACAGGTTTCTGCTGCTAGGTTTTCTAAGGAAACATCAGGCCCCAGTGGCATATTTTGTGTACAGACTTGTAAAATAGAAAGCCTGCTCTGCAACAAAATTTAAAGCAATATATTTATAATCTAACATTTATGTTTGATACAGAGATATAGTAAACATTTTAAAATTTGAATTTTTTATATTACAGAGAAAGTACAAATATATTTGAGATACAAATAAAAAAAAAAAAAAACACTTCTTGCTTCTGAAGGGTAAGAAGATCAAGTCATCAGTGGTCCACATCACAATGGTAGAAATAATGTCATCATCAATCTTCAGACCTCTCCTCTGTAAGGAGGATGCTGACCCAGATCATCTCCAGAACCCTTCCAGCCCCTTGAGAGTCCTCCACTCTAGTTGCAAAATAATGTCATATAGACTCAGCACCAATCTGCTACCACACTGACATCAAGTAACTACCTTACTTTTAGGCTCATGTTTCTCTGAAATGCCAGATCAAGATAATGATTTTATGAAGGGCAACCAGGCAAGGAAGAATACAAGGCTAGTGTGAGCAGCTGTAGGAAGCCATAATCACCACACACATCTCCTGGGGCAGATGTTGATGTACTGTTGAGGAGGTCAGAGTAAAAGCATGCAGTGATTACCTTTTGATCTGGAGGGGGAATATAGATCACTTTATCTAATCTTCCAGGTCGTAACAAGGCCTCATCTAGCACATCAGGCCTATTTGTTGCAGCAACAATCATGACATATCGATTAAAAACTTCTTGAAACTCTGAGGGAAACACAAAAAGTAATGTCAATAAATTGATACCTATAAAAAAATCGTTACACATCAGAAAGTGAATTTGTTTTTGTTTTTTGCATTACAAGTATTTCAACTCAGGGCTTCACCCTTTATCAGACAGGCACCCTATTGCCTGAGCCATGCCTCTAGCCGTTTTTAAATAGGGATAACCTTTTCTTGGGACCTGAATGCTTACACCCCCTATCCAGACCACCTTTTTGTTCTCAAGGTACCCTGGACATGAATCAAAGAACTACTTAGTGTGTGTGGAGTAGTTAGTCCTCAGAGACATTTTTCCCCGTGAGAACTGATGAAAAGCCTTATAGCACAGCAAAGAACACCTAGCTGGTGATCGAATGCCCCTGAACCCTCAATATTACAGCTTCAAGGGACTACTTGAAATGACAGAAGCCCCTGACAAACATGTGGAGATGTATGGCTCTGAAAAGACTTGCCAGGGCTGGCGGAGTGGCTCAAGCAGTAAGAGCACTTGCCCAGCAAGCATGAGGCCCCGAGTTCAAGTTCCCAGCACCACAAAATAAAGAGAAAAGATTTGCCTATCATATCCTCAAAGAGGTAGATTTACTTCACTTTTTATTTTTCCTTCCAGAAGCAGAAATAATAACAATTAACCTAAGCTGCAGTTAAGCACACCACGCATAGCGTTTAAAAGCAGACAGGGCAAGGCCTTATGTACACTAAGCACTCAAAGTCATTTCTCAAACTGAATAATCAGAGCAGCTTTTCATGATGCAATCCCTCAAAGAAAAGAGTTCCCAAATCTGCATGCAGTTTCCCAGGCTGGGTAAACACCTGCCAGATGTTGTATAAGAACTCCTGCATTATGAAAAGATTGAATTGGATAACCTCATGGGCCCCTTCAAACTCTAGTGCACTATGATTCCATCAAGCTGTTAAAATGCTTCTTCCATTAATCAATTTTTAATATGGGAACCAAGTAATAACATAAGAATAAAAAAAAAAAGAAAAATGATCTGTCAGGGATAATTAAGTGAGACTAAATTATACCTGGAGAACAGATTCAGAGAGAGAGGAAAAGGACTTCCAACTGTCATTTTAAAACTTCCTTATAGCCAAGGAAACCCACTCCTCAAGATAACAGGAAGTTTTCAACAACTAAAATTATTGAAATACTAATGTTTTGTTTTACATAGACACCGTCAAAAAGTGGGCTGGTGGAATGGTTCAAGTGATAGAGCTCCTGCCTAGCAACCATGAAGCCCTGAGGTCAACCCCCAGTACACCAAAAAAATAAAAAACTGAGAGCCAGGTGCTGGTGGCTCATGCCTATAATCCTAACTACTCAGGAGGCAGAGACCAGGAGGATCATGGTTTGATCACAAGACCCTATCTTGAAAAAACCCATCACAAAACAGAGCTAGTGGAGTGGCTTCAGGTATAAGCCCTGAGTTCAAACTCCAATACCAAAAAAAAAAAAAAAAAAAGAAAAAAATTTTGAGAAAGGGATGAAGAGTGGTTCTTCAGAGTATAAACTCCCTTCTCATTAGCAGTAAATAAAATTGTATTTCTCATTCTCAAGAAAAGTAAAGATCACATTCATACACATATAAAATAATTTATTTAATCTTTCCTGGCCAAATTACAATTTTTACCAGTCCTGTAAAAATCCCAACAGAGTGACTAGGGATGTAGCTCAGTAGAAGAGTGCTTGCCTAGCACGTTCAAGGTCCTGAGTTTTTGATCCTCAGTGCCACAAAAAAAAAAAAAGAAAGAAAGAAAGAAAGAAAACAAACCTCCCAACAGAGTCAAATTGAAATCCCTCTATAAGATAAACTCAGCAGAGGAAAAGCCACACCATGTAGGAATTCTCCTTAATGTTGGCCTGGATTTTTCATGTATTCTAGCTAATAAATACCTCTTCATTTTTTTCAGCTCCTGGTATTTACCCTGTTGATCTGATTTACTTCCTCTTCTCTCTATTGTCTTAAGGCCCACACCATCTAACTCATTCAGGAGAACAGAAAGAACTCGCTCTTGAACATCACATCCTGAGTTGCTGACTGAGCGAGACCCCAAGATTGAGTCAATTTCATCCAAAAACACAATTGCTGGAGTATTTGCTCTTGCTTGTCGAAATACCTTTTGTTGGAGGAAAAAAAAAACACATGAGAAAGCTAATGTTATACACTATTCATTTAATCCATGTTCTCTGCACTACTATTTATAACTTTTATAAAAAGGAAGATTTTAAATCCTAAGAATTGGAGAATGCATAAATAAAACAAGGAGCAATGGATGATATGTACAAGTTAAAAATCATATTTGCAAAGGATATTTAACATGGAATTTCAAAAGTGATAGCATTACGTTAAAAAAGAAGGATAAGGCTGTAGATAGATTTAAAAACCTGACCTTTACTTTGTTTTTAAAAAAAAGACAAAGGAAATTCAATAAAATGTTAACAATAAAGAGAAGGATTATGGAGGGTCTCTTATTTAAACTTTTCTGTTTTCTAAATTTTCTGTAAACAAACCTGAGTAACTTTTATAATTGGAAAATAAAACTAGTTATATTTTTAAAAATAAGGCTTATCTATTAGGCATGAAATAGTCAAAAGTAAACTTAAATAAACAGACCTGAGACAAGACTTTTTCTGATTCTCCAACAAAAGGTGAAAAGAGATCAGCTCCGCTCACTGAAACAAAAGAGCAGTGACAGCTTGTAGCCAGTGCCCTCACCAGGGTAGTTTTAGCACATCCAGGGGGCCCATAGAGCAGAAGCCCCTTTGGTGGTGTCAGACCCATCCTAACAAATTCCTGAGGGAATTTCAGAGGCCACTCAATGCTCTGTAAATAGTCAAAAAGAGAAGAGTTATTTTAGTACAACAATCACATGCCTGATAATTCAGTAAATTCCTTTACTCATTCAGCAGTTCTCAGGCACCTGTTATGAGCTGAAATGCAGTCTATTTTCCAAACAGCAGCAAGGGAGTTTACAATTTAAATTAGGTCCAATCACCTCCTTCTTAAAGCCCTCTAATGACTTCTCATCAGGACCAGAATAAAATCCAAATCCAAACTCCTTACATACCACAGTTCACAAGGCCTTACAGAATCTAACCCCCAAACACATGGCCTGTTCACATTTCTTTACTTACTATACTCTCTCTACCTGAACTTTCCCCTCAACATTCCTGTGAGGCTAGTCCTCCTCATTCAAGGCCTCAGCCCAAATGTCATTTCCTTGGAGAGGTCTTCCCTAACCACCCTAGTCAAAGCAGAAACCCTCCTAGTCACCGCCTGTGCTACTTGCCCACGTTTTAGTCTTAGAGCACTTATTAATTTGCTATTATTATTGTTCCGTATTGGGTTTGTTGTTCTGCTCTTGCTAAAAGTTCACCTCTAAATCCTTAACACCTGGAATGACACCTGCCCAAACTAGGGTTTCAATGTTAACTGAATAATGCATGAGTCTGCAAAGATAAATGGTTTTATCACAATTTTACAGATGCAGCAGCTCAGGCTTAGAAAAGTTTACTTCCCCAGTTCTTTTGTTAGTGAGGTGGCAGAACCAAGGCAATGTAACTCCAGAGTATCCTCTTTTAACTACTGATAGATAACCTCTCAATGCACCCCCCCACACACACTTCCCCACAAAAAAACAAGTATAGGACAAGATCCCTGTACCTAGGGAAACGCGCTTGTAAACTAACAACCAGGCCAGAAGAGAGTGCTACAAGAAGGAACACTACATACAGAGATGCATGAAACCATCTAATCTAGTCCCCCAGCAGTAAAGAGGGGCAGTGTATAGGATGGGAGAAAGCAGGAGCAATGCGTTGAAGTGGAAGTAAGACTTAGATTACAATGGGCCTTGAAGCTTTAGCTAACACTGAGGAATGTGTTGGAAGGAAATAAAACTTGAGGCAGGGAGACTAGTTGGAGTCTTTTTCAATGATTCAGTCTACAAAAATCATAAGGTTGGAGATGGCACAGAAGGGATGGATATATGAAACATGAAAAGGAACTGCATTCTACATAGGGACTGAGTTCTGGCCCTGCGCACTTGGAAGACAGGTTTCTGACATGGAGGTGGCTGACTGCATTCACTGAGGCCGGGAATCCACATGGAAGTAGAGCTGATTAGCTGGACTTTGGACACAGCAACTTTGATAGCCCCAGGATTATGCAGTAGCCCAGGCAACAAAACACTCAATGACCAGAAGAAATGTCTACTTAAGATATATATGTAGAGAGATTTTTGAGTCAAAAGGTTTCAAGGACAGTCTTGGACACTGAGCTTATGAATTCACTCACAGTCTGCAAAGAAGATGCCCAGGAGCCTCTTGGAGGAAGGGGAGAAAGGTGCTCAGAAAGCAGGAAAACTTAACAACCAAGCTAAGGAAAGAGAGTTTGCAAGGAAGGTGTGGCTGATTTCTCTCATGCACCTCTGAAGATTAAATGACACAATGCATATGAGGAAGGCCCTGGGTCCATTCTTCAACACCATGGAAAAAAAAGGGCAGTACATCCTCTGTGTACTGCCAATCATCTCAGATTGTTTAAATAACTAATACTACACACATAGTTGTTATACTGTATTGCTTAGGGAATAACAAGAAAAAAAAAGTCTGTATATGATCAGTATAGACACAATATGCTCCTTGTACATCTGCAAGGTGGAATATTTTTAATAATAGCTGAAATAGCTTTTGTGAGTATGTGTTGAAACAGCTGCTTTTGCTCTATAGAGATGAATGAATGGTTGTAAAACAGCCTGTATGGTTTAATAAGCTTAACACATTTACTATCTAGCTCTTTCTAGAAAATTGGTTCAAGATCGTAATAAACTCTTTAAAAGTAAAAACACAAACAAAAGGAGCATTGAGGTGGGAAAGCATGAAAACTGGTTTTGGTGTCTATACAAGTTCAGCTAAAGACTGAAAACTGATCACCGGATTCAGTTGTCAGCTCACAAGAGCTGCTTCAGTATAGTATGCGTTCATCATAAACACACAGAATATTAATCTGTAATAGTCTATTGACTTAAATAGATTAACTGTCACCTGTTTTAGCTTCAGTTTCACATCTTCAAGGCCACCAATCTCTCCCAGCCAATAGGCTTGATGTCCATCAGTCCAATGACACTTCTAAATGATGAGGGCTGAATCTTTTTAAAAGCTTGAAAGAAATCTGTTTCATCAATTATAGGATTGTCTTGATTCTAAAGAAATACACCCCAAAAAGCCAAATAAAAATTAGGCCTTTTTTATGCTACATAGCACAATTCCTCTTATATTCTTTTCAGTTTGTAAATCTATTTGGTTATCGTTATTTTATACACCTATATACACCTACTACAAAAAATTGAGTATTTCCCCACCAATTCCCACAGTATCCATCCCCAGAGGATGTCAGCAGATTCTCGTGTATTCTTCAAGTATGTTTTATGACAATAAGCGTATGTATATCCTTTAAAAGACAAAAGCAAATTGAAGTGTAGTGTACATATTAATCTGAACTTTTCTTTTTTCACTTAGAAATCTTTTCATGTAAACTAATATAGTTCTGTTTCACTCTTTTGGACAGCCGCATAAAATGCACCAGCTTATCTAACAAATATTAGGTCATTCTCAGTCTTATTATTAAAAACAAAACTGCAACCAAAAATTCTTATACCCATATTCAAGTATCTTATTTAACTCCCTCAAAGTAGAATAACTGGGTTTAAGAGTATACACAATTATAATTTTGACAGCCAACAGTGATTATCAAACTGTCCTCAAAGGAAGCCACATTAATTTTTTCCCCTCCAGTAATACGAAGTTGCTATTCTCCCCTTACCTCTCCAACACTGGATATTACCAAATCTTTAAGTTTCTGCTAACGTGACAGGAAGAAATGGTACTCAATATTGTGTTAATTAAATTTCCTCAACTCAGAGTGAGATGGGGGGAATAATGGAATTAGAAAGTCACTTTTTTTTTTTTCAACTTTCACAGTAAAGGCTGTTTTGAGCAAGAACAGGATACTACATCTAAGGAAGCAGAAGTGGAAGTTTTTTTTTTAATTGTTTTATTATTCATATGTGCATACAATGCTTGGGTCATTTCTACTCCCTGCCCCCACGCCCTCTCTTACCACCCACTCTGCCCCCTCCCTCTCCCCCCCACCCCTCAATACCCAGCAGAAACTATTTTGCCCTTATCTCTAATTTTGTTGAAGAGAGAGTATAAGCCATAATAGGAAGGAACAAGGGGTTTTGCTAGTTGAGATAAGGATAGCTATACAGGGAGTTGACTCACATTAATTTCCTGTGCGTGTGTGTTACCTTCTAGGTTAATTCTTTTTGATCTAACCTTTTCTCTAGTTCCTGGTCCCCTTCTCCTATTGGCCTCAGTTGCTTGTAAGGTATCTGCTTTAGTTTCTCTGCATTAAGGGCAACAAATGCTAGCTAATTTTTTAGGTGTCTTACCTATCCTCACACCTCCCTTGTGTGCTAAAGCTTTTATCATGTGCTCAAAGTCCAATCCCCTTGTTGTGTCTGCCCTTGATCTAATGTCCACATATGAGGGAGAACATACAATTTTTGGTTTTTTGGGCCTGGCTAACCTCACTCAGAATGATGTTCTCCAATTCCATCCATTTACCAGCGAATGATAACATTTTGTTCTTCTTCATGGCTGCATAAAATTCCGTTGTGTATAGATACATTTTCTTGATCCATTCGTCAGTAGTGGGGCATCTTGGCTGTTTCCATAACTTGGCTGTTGTGAATAGTGCCGCAATAACATGGGTGTGCAGGTGCCTCTGGAGTAACCTGTATCAGTCTTTTGGGTATATCCCCAAGAGTGGTATTGCTGGTAGATCAATGTTTAGCTTTTTAAGTAGCCTCCAAATTCTTTTCCAGAGTGGTTGTTCTAGTTTACATTCCCACCAACAGTGTAACAGGGTTCCTTTTTCCCCGAATCCTCGCCAACACCTGTTGTTGGTGGTGTTGCTAATGATGGCTATTCTAACAGGGATGAGGTGGAATCTTAGTGTGGTTTTAATTTGCATTTCCTTTATTGCTAGAAATGGTGAGCATTTTTTCATGTGTTTTTGGATTTGAATTTCTTCTTTTGAGAAAGTTCTGTTTAGTTCATGAGTGGAAGTTTGATGAGAGGATATTTTCATGTCTCAAAGTGTCTCCCCATAGATTTCTTCTTAGTGACACAGGGAACAAGAGTAGCTACACAGTGGAAAAACTGGACACCACCCTATCTGGTTGTGAAAGTCAGCATCACCAACGAGAAGCTGACAGACATTTTGTGCCTCCACATGTGGTACCCTAAGGCCATAACAGTGACTATGCAGCGTTCCCAACAGGGACGTAGACTTGGAATCTGACCATTCTATAAAATAACTGATCCACATTACTTATGTCACTGACAAACATCTTAGGGAAAAAAACAGTTCAAGATTTAAAAATACTTAAAAAAAAAATCTGTTTCCTGAACTAGATCCTGTACAAGAGAAAAAAAACACTACAAAGATTAAGATGATTACCACAATGAATGAGAATATGGACTGTAGAGTTGATAACCTTTGGAATCATGTTAAAGTTCTTAATGTAATGATTATACTGTGGTCATGTAGGAGAACATCCTTGTTCTTAGGAAACAGTAAAATGGAAGGGTCAGAGGTTCCTGAGTTAGAGAGAGAATAAAGCTAATATAATGAAGCTAATTTGGCAAAATGTTAAAAATTGTGAGTTTGGATAAAAGATTGGTGGGACGTCTCTATTTGCAACTTTCAAGTTTTAAATAATTTCAAAATAAATTTAAAAAGCTGAAAGGAAATAATTTTTAAAGAAATCAAGTGAAGATTTTTCATGTTTATTGGTATTTCTTTTACTGTCCACGACCAGTTCATCTTTTTTTTGTCACTGGGAATCAAACCCAGGGCCTCACGCATGCTAGGTAAGCACTCTACCACTGAGCTACATCCCAGCCATCAGTTCATATCTTGTTACCCATTTTCTCTTGTATTATGGTGTTGTCTTATTGATTTGTAAAAGTGCTTTCTAAATGAAGGAAATTAGGCTAAAAGCATTTTTCTTAGTCTTGACTTTACTTGTAGTATTGTTTTGCCACCTCCAAATGCTCAAATTATCCAATCATGTCCTTTTTTAGCTATTAGCAACTCAGGGCCTCTTGCTTGCTTGGCGGGTGCTTTATCACTTACACCACACCCCCAGCCAATAGGGAGTCTTCTTTACGATTTCCTGATCATTCTAGTGAAGCAATCTTTTTTTTCATTAAACATTTCTATTCGTTTTATCTGTAATGTATTTATTAAAGAATTTTCCCTCTTACATCAAATTCTGAACATTTATTTAGTTGTCTACAAATTTCATTTTCAACAAACTACCTCATTTATATAATGTAAGAAGATGAATATGCATAGGCCTATTCTAAACAGTATTCTCCAAAAATGTTAACAATTGTCATCTATGGGAGATGATATTTCAGACAAATTTTGCTTTCTTTATAATTTTCTACCTTATTTAGTTTCTCACAAAGAACCTAGAGCATACTTACACAAACCTAGAGGGTAGAGCCTACTACACACTTAGGCTATGCGGTGTATACCTTTGTGTATCTGAACGGTTGCTCACCAAAACATTGTTATGTAGCACATCACTGTAGCATTTAATTTTACTGGCAGTTAGTATTAAATTAATACTAATTACCTAATTAATTTTTAGGTATTTTCCACTAACATTTGAAAAGCTCATTTACAATGAAGATCACTATGCGTTCATTATTTCATTTGATTCTCATAACCCTTTCAGGCATATAAATTCTTTCTACTCTGTGTATATTAGACTATACTTCTAATCTTTTAATAATATCTCAGAAAAATGTTAACCAATTTTAATGGATCCCTTGTCTGCCCTGGTATAGAGGTAGCAGCAGTCCCTCAGCTGCCTGGTAGGGGAAGGAAGAAAAGGATGGAGCGCCAGTACCTTCCTGGATGTCTCTGTCCCTTTTTTCTTTTTTGCCTTTCTTCCATTTCCCCTGCGTTGTTTCTGAACTCTGTCATCTCCTGTGGTAACTATTCTTAGGTTATAGCAGCAGTGGACTCCCCTAGGATGACAGCAGCTGATAGGTCCACCCAAGCCAGAGGTGCTTACGTCAAACCTGGAACTTCAAAGCAGAGGGAATCCTAAATATAAATCTCCCTTCCCATCCTCTGGTGCTGTCATCCTCTCCCTCCAAGGATGTATACTCTTATACCTTTTCACATGAGACTTTTTAAAACTTTAAGCAGTTTTGGTTCTAAGTCCACAGCAGGAGGACTTAGAAGTTCACATAACTTCTCCCCACCTTCAGTGTAAGAATAGAAATAAAGGAAAAGGAAGTGAGGAAGGGTATACGCTATTTAGGGGAAAAGGTTTGCCAAACTTTAGAATATCATTCTTTTACAATTTGAGATCAAAGGACAATTTTGATGTTATAACCAAGGTCGAAAACTTTGTTCCAGAGTTCTCTGCCTGGTGAAGTTATTTCTTTCTGAAGAGGTTTAGGAATTCAGAGTTTTTTATTATACACCAAATGACTTGATTTTCCAATCAGTAGTGTTGAAAAGTATAAAATTTAAGATAGTACCTTAAATATTTCTAAGAAAGGTAGTTGTAAATTAAAGACTTGAATATCACAAATTTAAATCTCAGGTCCCAATCTACTCTTGGATTAGATAAATTATTTTCCTCACAAGGTACTTATTAATAATAAAGAGAAAAATAGTATCTTGACAATGAAGAAATCTTACCACCTTACCCAAGACATAAAAAACTAACTTCAGTAGGTCAAAGAGCTATGTGTTGTGTAATAAATGCAATGAGAAAAACACAGGATCATTTCTGATATTCTTGCCAAAAATGCAAAACCTGAATTGAATCATGAAGAAACACCAGTCAAACCCAAACTTACAATGGCTGACAGTATAGTTGACTTGAACTCTTAAAAAAGTTAAGGTCACAAAAGAAACATTGAAAGATGGTTCTAGACTAAGTTCTACTTAGATTAGGTAAAAGTATCTTCAGCTTGACTTGTCACAGTGTGGTTTAAGTTCTTGATTTTAGCAAACATACTCCTGAAGTTTGCAAGGGTAAGGGGGAGGCATCAAGGCTGCAGGGCATTTCCAAATGCTTCAGGAAAAAAAATAATGTATAGAAATTCAAACATGAATTCAACATGAAGAAAGAATGATAAAGCATATGTGGTAAAATGTTACAATTGGAGAATCTTCGTGAAGGTTATATGGAAATTCTTTTTACTATTTTTGCTACTTTTGTCTAAGTCTGAAATTTTTTAAATTTCACAATTAAAAAAACAATTGCTTGATTCTTCTGGGGCCACATGCCTTTCTGGCTAATCTGTGTACTTCAGCACCATGGAGTTACTGTGGGATTGGGGAAATTCACTGGGCAGAACAAACTGGGGGACTCAGCCCTTCATCCCCATCTTCCACCTTATATTATTTATATGGAATTAGGATGTAATATAGTTAAGATGTAATATATAACTGGGCACCGGTGGCTCATGCCTATAATCTACATATATATATATATACATATATATATATATATAGCTACTCAGGAGGCAGAGTTCAGGAGGATCGTGGTTCTTGAGACTCCGTCTCGAAAAAACCCATCACAAAAAAGGGCTGGTAGAGTGACTTAAGGTGTAGGCTGAGTTCAAGCCCCAGTATTGAAAAAAAAAGTAATATATATACAAATATATATTTAAGAACCAGCTGTGGAAGCTACCAACCATTCTAAGAAAATGTACTTAGCACAGTTTTTAACCCCTAAATTACATTAAAAAAACAAGATTAACATAGCTGGTCCTAAGTCAATATTTACCTTCTCACTGTGAAGGAAGGCGTGCATGGCCGCCTCCCTACAGAGTGCTGTCAGGTCAGCGCCAACATAGCCAACTGTCATTTCTGCAAGGAGATCCAAATCAACATGACTGGAGACGGGCATCTTTGAGGTAACCACTTGCAGAATTGCCTTTCTTTGGGTAAGTGTGGGAGTCCCAATGACAACCTATAGGCAAAGCAAAAGCAGAAAATTTAAAGTTTACAATTTGAAATATTTTTACCCTCACAAACATGTGCAATAATTTAGTGAACCATAGTGAAAATAATACTATGCAGTTTTAAGCATACCTGAGATTCTGAATATATGAAAATCCTAATTTTCCAGTGGAATAAAAGTGGCTAAAATGTCACACAATGAAAATTATACGTGTTACTTAAGAAGTTTGTTATTTTTGAAATAACAGAATCTAGGAATTACTGATCGAATAAGACAGATAATATATGTCTCTGGCCCTTTGGAACTTATTCAGGAGACATATAATAGTCAGTATGAGGAGGAAATCCACTCATCCTGAAGATTACACTCAAAGTGTGCAATTCTGTTTAGAATCCTACACACAAGGATTCACTAAATCACTAACCTTCAGAATATGTGTGTGTGTGTGTGTGTGTGTGTGTGTGTGTATGTGCGAGAGAGACAGAGAGAGAGAGAGAGAGAGAGAGAGCAAGGGCTTCACACTTGCAAAGCAGATGTTCTACCACCTGAGCCATTCCTCAGTCCATTTTGCTCTGGTTATTTTGGAGATGGGATCTCGCAAACTATTTGTTGGGCTGGCCTCAAACTATGATCCTCCTGATCTCAGCCTTCCAAGTAGCTAGGATTACAGGTGTGAGCCACCAGTGCCCAGCCCAAAGTATTCTTTAGAAATCAATTTAGGACCAAGCTTGTCAGATAGGACAGTTATCTTCCCTTGCAAGCAGGTGTAGAATGGGATGCTGACAGACTGAGAAAGAATGACTAAATCAGAGTAAATGCCTTTTCTTTTTAATTTCAACACCCTTTTTGAGGCTATCCTTCTGCTTAAAATTCTCACTTCAAATTTATTAGTTTAATAGGCTTGTAACAGACCTAGTTCCCTTAATAATTAAATTATTGATTACAGAGCTCATCCACAGGACCTGCACAACAGAACTAATACCTGCTTCCCTGAACGATCTGACTTGTCTGGGAAAAATGAGGTCCTGTCTCACTGACCCTATATATGAGCTCACTGCCAAGAGCCCTAATCCACAGCCTTCCCAGAAGCAAATCCACAAAGCGAGCTTCCAGGAATGAGGGCTAAGCCAAGACTCACTCTCGGTCAAATCTCCCAGGTCTGCGCAGCGCAGGGTCCAGGGCGTCCGGCCGGTTGGTGGCTCCCACGACCACCACCTCGCGGTCCCCGGCCATGCCATCCAGCAGCGTCAACACTTGGGCCACCACGCGGCTCTCGGAGGCTCGGTGAGGGCCGCCCCGCCGGGGACACAGGGCGTCCAACTCGTCCAGGAAGACGAGGCTGGGCCCGCGGCGGGCCAGTTCCCAGGCGCGCTGGAAGAGCCGCCGCACGTTCTCCTCGGTCTCCCCGGGCCGCGCGCCCTGCAGCTCAGGAGCGCTCGCCGCCAGCAGCTCCGCGCCCGCCTCCCGGGCCACCGCCCGCACCAGCTGGGTCTTGCCCACTCCGGGGGGCCCCGCCAGGAGCACCCCGCGGGGCACTGCCAGCCCCAGCGCGGCTAGGGCGCACGGGTAGTGGAGCGGCAGGCGGAGGAGCTCCCGCAGCGAGGCGGCCGCCTCCGAAAGGCCCCCCAGGGTCACCTCGGACCGCGGCTCCGCTTCCGACCGCGGCTCCCCGCTGAGGGCGATGCGAGTTTGAGGGGTGACCAGCCCCGCCGGGTAGGGGTGCGGCGCCCCGCTGACGATGTGTAGGGCGGCCACGGGACCTGGGTCACCAGGTGGAGCGGCCACCACGTGGCCCTGGGAGACAGGCCGGTTCCTCAGCAGCTCCTGCGCAGCCTCCAGCACCACGGCTGGACTCGGGGCGCCCGGCGCGCCCGCCCGCTCTCGCAACACCGGCCACACGGCGAGGCGCCGCAGGGGCGGACAAGGCACCACGTGGAGGCTGCTTAGATGGAGAGTCCTCCCGGACCCCGACATCCCCATTGTCGCCCCCGGGCTCGCGCACTGCAGGTCCAGCTGCACGAAGGCGTCCGCTCCATCCCGCCGCGGCCAGGCAGTGCAGAGGCAGGAGCCGCCATCGGGCAGCGTGATCCTCACCGCCGAGCCCAAGTGCGCGCCCAAAGTGCGGAGGGCGGCCGGGCCTAGGCGGCAGCGCTGAGTACCCCGATCCCTGGCATCCACCGGCAGCAGCTTTAAAAGCTGCCCTTCGGGGCAGGGACCCGAGTCTGGAGCCATGACGCAAAGCAAAAGCAGGCCTAGGAAACTGGGGCAAGAATTCCACACGGGCTGTAAAGGCAGGAACACCGCGCCCCCAGGCCGGAAGCAGGCTACGCGCATGCGTCATGGATGACTCGCAGCTGAGTGAAAATCGAAAGGGCCAATGGGAAAGCAAGATAATGCGCCCGCCCTCCGGTAGAGTTTTGATCCACTTTGCTGAAACACAGTTTCTCTTCCCCGAGCTTGATGAAGATGGTCTTTGCAGAGAGGCAACGTAAGCTAACTTCACGAGAGCGCTAAACATGTACCTTGGTGGTCACCTATACGTTGGCGTCACCGGCATTACTTACTCTTCCTGGCCTTCACTGGACCATCACTACTACTGTTGTTGTAATACCAACCTATAGACTCCTATTTTGTAATGAAACCTCAACTACCGCCCCCCCCATAGACTAGGTATTTTTTAATGTTCTAGTGCTGATGTCTTGGGTTAACGGAGTAGCTGTGATTACTGCCGCCTGGCGCCTTCTACAACCGGTGTTCCACCTGTTTGAGCCGTCCAGGCACAACTTTTCTATAGAAAAGCACCACATAGGAGAGAAGCACAGTGTGGCATTTAAAATCCCTTGGAGAGGGGAAAGAAGGAAAACTAGGCTATCGATATATTTGTAATACACCTATTGGCTCTGCTTCCACATTTCAAGATTTGCTCCTTGAAATGTTCTTCGGCAACAACTTAATCACTTGCCTCTTCTGTTCATGCCCGTTTGGAACACAGCAGTACTATGTCCTTTTACATTTTTAAAACAACTGCTGTTATGTTTCCACCTGCTTTCTGCCTTCCCTCTCCCCATTCCACAAGGAATTCTTTCCTCTTTATCAGGAAATTCATTTCCTATCTCTTTTAATTCTCTCAAAAAGAACTACAGGGGCTGGAGGCGTGGCTCAAACAGTAAAGCATCTACCTAGGACGCATGAAGCCCTGACTTCAATCCCCAGTACCGCAGAGAGGATGAGAGAATGGAGAGAGAAAGAGAGACCTTAGTTTTTAATCCTACTCACATCACCCTCTTTTTTTCCCACCTTCACTGCAACCAAATGTGTGAGATAACAAAATTGATATTGGAGATAGTGCCTAAATTGCTTGGAGTTGTTATTACGCAAATAACTCCCATGCCATGGCAGTATCTTATCAAGAGAAAGTACTGTGGGATTTGGAACCTTAAGACCAATGGCAATTTGTGGCCTCATTCATCTAAATGTAGTGGCAGATAGTATGACAGACTTTTAGACTCCACAGTAACTTATCTGGTCTCTACTTTCCCAGCTTCTGTGCTGGAAATGCCTAAAAGGTACCAGAAAATAAAGTACATAGAAGGAAGAAGTCCTAAGATGGGTGAGTCAGACGTTTCTATTTTCTTCTTTCTCTTAATCTCATTAGCTTCTTTCTTTTGGTTTTCAGACTTTTCAATAATAGTCTTGCATTTTCTGAAGTAAAAAGCTTTTTCTAAACTGACCCTTGAAGGTGTAAAGAAAACGACTGTCACATTATTCTATCACAATGCCTGTAACTCATGAAATTTCTTTTATTCCAGTTCCAAGAAGCCTTGAGGATGTAGAAAAGAGAAGACTTAATAAGGGCACAATAACTGTCTTAAGTACATAAAGAGCTGTCATGTAAAAGAGTTAGTATTTTTATGTATGTCTATAGTACAGAACTGGCCAGGAAATGAAAGTTTAATGTAGTGAATTTAAGATTTTTCCTCCTCATATTTTGAGCATGGTTATATGGAAGATATAAACTAATGCTAACATACAGAAGCAAACATAAGGAAGAAAAGATTGAATCAGCCTTAGATTTTTCTACATTGGTTTAAAACAGGTGGAGGCTATAATATTAAGGATATAATGTGGAGGAAACTACATGCTGCTTTGGGTTGGTGTGAGAGGTTGATTTGATACAGGGTCAGATTAGAATTCTCTGACCTTACAGGACTCATGGCCAAAAAGCATTCACTTCACCCTCCTCAACAAGGGATCCTGTTCCTGGGCCTGAACTCTTGCCAGTCATCCTCAAGAGAACTGTGTCTGTTTTCCAGTCAGCCAGTAAAATTCATTCTTTTCTTTTGGGTCAGATCATTCTCAACACTATTATTTCAGTCATTGTATATCCACACTTATCCTACTATTCAATTAAATAATCTTCTGGAAAACCATTCTAATAGGAGTCGTGTGGTCTTTTATTTGTTTGTAGTGTGACCCCAAATCTGGTAATTCTATGAATTAAAGAGCCCCAATTAAAGCACCAAAATTTTGAGCCACTAGAGGGAGTCCAGAACCAACAAGCCTGAAGGCTGCAGGAACATTAGCTCTGGTGTTCCCAACTGTGGCTTCTACTAGGTTTTCCCCTATTCATTCCCAGGTGTATGAAGCAATCTGTTGTCTTTATATATTGTCCTAGTCAGTCAGGCCGCTATGACAAAATACCATAAGCTGGGTAGGTTATAAACAACAGAAAATTATACAGTTCTGGAGGCTGGGAAGTCAAAGACCATTGGCAGATTTGTGTCCTCTGAGGGTCTTCTTTCTAGTTTATATGTCTTTTCATAATTTCTTCACATGGTGGAAAGAAGTCCCTACCTCTCTGAGACCTCTTTCCTAAGGACACTAATATCATGAAGACTCCAACCTTGTGACCTAATCGTCTCCCAAAGTCCCACCTCCTAATACTATCATTTGAGGATGGGGATCTCAACATACGAACTTTGTAGCAAACCCAAACATTTAGATCATAGCAGTAAGTGGCTTATTCTCACAATTCCTATATGCCTCAGTCCATGTAGAACTCAGCTTCCAAGTTAATTCTAATTTCCATATTAAATAGAAAAATGAGACTTCCTGGAATCCTATAATTAGTGGTAGATCAAAATCCCAACAATTCATTCTGCTACAGACTAGAAACATTTCCAACTTAAATAGCTTTTCTTAAACAGCTTTGTTAAATAAAATCCTTTCTGAGATTTTTTTCTTAAGAGATACATGTAACAATAGTTTATTTTATTGCTACATTCAAAGTTATAATCTGTCTAATTGATATTAAAATTAACATAACTGTATTTTAATAACTATATTTAAATATAATTAATTGTAAAATTCCTAATTACCAATATGTCTAGAATTCAAAAGAAAGAACTGAAACCAGCTTCTTTTTTAGGACAATGACTATACATGAATTTGTGCCTTCAGCATCTATAATATTATATATTAAATATATTTCAGTACATGAAGCATACCATAATTATGAGAAGGCATAAAAAAATGGTTAAACCAGAGCATGAGTAAATTAGCTATAATCAACAAATGCTAATCTGTGTACTTCCATTTTCCTATTGTGTTCAACCCTTGACATACTTGAACATCAGCAGTGATTATGAGTTGTGATAGATATAGAGATTCACAGTGGAAAAAGCATGATTTTCAAATGCTTTCATCTCAACATGTTCATGCAGATATATCAAGTGACTTATTTCCACAGATACCCAATATGCTAAAAAGGTGTTGTCTTAAATATGTGATGAAAATCCCCCCAAATAGGACATCACTAAAAGTGTTTTTTTCATTTTTGTTTTTTCTCAGGCATCCATACTAGAATTATTCTGAGACGATATAAAGACAAGGGAAGGGGAGTGAAAATATTTTCTGGACTACAGATGATTTGTAAGCACTGGTTCACAAAACTTCATTCTGAAAGCTTATTCTTACAGATTTTTCAGGAAATTACTTGTTTCTTCATTTTTAGAAATTAATTTTAAGATAATTTCTTTATGCTGATTTGCACTGTCCATCTAATAAATACATTTATATTTGTGTATTTATTAAACAAATATTTGTTGAAGATCTACTTCATGCTAGATACTATACCAAAGGCTGAATATAAGGCAGTAAACAACAAAAAATATATATTCTTAACTTCATAAAGCTTGTAGTCTACTGTGGAAACCAGGCATTAAAGCAGTAAACAAGTTAATAAACCAAATAATTAAAGGTGATAAAAAAAAGTTGCTTTGTGCCCGGCACTGGTGGCTCACTCCAGTAATCCTTGCTACTTAGAGGTTGAGATCTGGAGGACTGCAGTTTGAGCCAAATAGTTTAAGAGACCTCATCTCCAAAGTAACCAGAGCAAAATGGATTGGAGATGTGACTCAAGAGGTAGAGCACCTGCTTTGCAAGTGCAAAGCCCAGAGTTCAACCCCAAATCCTACCCCCTAAAAAAAATTCCATGAAAGAAATAAATAGAAAAGGGCTACTTTAGATAGATATTAAGGATAGGGAAAAAACAAAGTATTCTTTCTGCCTTCATATATCACTGAGTCACTCAACAATATTTCTGACACCAAGTGTGTGGGAGTTTTCACCACACTCCAAGCACTTCTGTGGAAGACACCAACTGGGTGTCCTCTAATTCAGCTTCCAAGTTAATACTGATACAGTCTACCTGGAGGTAGCATCAGCTCCCACAGGTTAAGGACACAGTCCCAGAAGCCTTTCCCCCACTTCATGTGTCAGTCACAAGTCCCAGGTTGTAACCTGTGCTGCTGACTGACCAACTATAAATTGGGAGTTCCCTGACTCCTCAAGTTTTTTGGTTTTGGTTTTGGTTTTGTTCTTTTTTGCGGTACTGGACTTGAACTCAGGGCCTACACTTTGAACCACTCCACCAGCCCTTTTTTTTTTTTTTTTGTGATGGGTGTTTTAGAGATAGGGTCTCATGAACTATTTCCCAGGGCTGGCTTCAAACTGCAATTCTCCTGATCTCTGCCTCCTGAGTAGCTAGGATTACGGGCGTGAGCCACCAGTGCCCGACCTCAAGTTTATTAATTTTCTAGGATAGCTCATGGAAGTCGGGGAGGCACTTTGCTTACAATTGCCAATTTATTAATAAAAGGGCACAGATGAACAGCCAGATGAAGACATACAAAAGGCAAAGTCTAGTAGGGACCTGAGCTCAGGAGCTTTAGTTCTGTAGAGTTGTGGTGCACCAACCCCTAGCTGCATAGATGTGTTTACCAACCTGGAAGTTCTCCAAGTCACATAGTTTATGGATGTTTATGGAGTCTTCATCATATAGGCATGATCGATTATTAATTCCATTTCTACCTCCTCCCCCCTCCCTGGAGAACAGAGATAGGGACTGGAAGGTCCAAGCTGATAATCATGGTTGGTCTTTCTGGTTGACCAGCCCCTACTTAGAGGCCCAGCAAGTTACACTGTTAGAATGAATGATACTTCTATCACCTAGGAAATTCCAAGGGATTTAGAAGCTCCCTTCAGGGACCAGGAGAGGAACTAGTATGTACATTTCTCATCATTTCATAAGAGGGGAGGCCTCTCTGAGGAAGTAACAGTCCAGGTGAGTCCTGATGGATGAGTAGGAGTAGGCAGAAGACTGGAGGAGTAAGGGGAGACTGTGCCAATAAGAAGGAAAAGCCAAAAAAAAAACAGAAGGAAAAGCCTATGCCAATGTCCTGAGGTTGAATATGCTTTCCATGTGTAAGAAACTAAAAGGCAGCCAATTTTGTCTTTACCACCCCTTTGGCACTTATTTTCTAATATTTTTCTAATTTTGTTACATATAGTTGGTGTTCAATAAATTCTTGTTGACTAAAATTCGATTGAAGAAGGGAATCAAGTCTGATGACTCATGCTGTGGGGATTAGATCTTATCCAATCCAGACACATTCCATTCTCTTCAGGGTACACATGGTGAACCTCAAAGTTGATTTTCACGGTGGCCCTCACCTGACAGGCCACCCATCCTGCCACTTTTGTCACTCATCATTTCTACTTTTGAGACACTTTTAAGTTTTTGGTTAAATCAATCATTACAAGAATCTAAGAAAATTCAGAATTGCCTCCACAATCATCGCTGATGTTCTAATATGACATGCAATTAGAAACACACTTGCTGAATATTTATTTACCCTTTTCTAATCTTATTATCAATAGGCATCTTTATTGATTTAATTGGATTATTGCAACAACCTCTTGATTAAACTCCATCCCTCCAGTCTTTCCTTTTCTTGCCACTGTATTAATCCAGCTAAGAAAACTGCTGTACTTTGCTTTGAGGATTATATCTGAGGTATATTAGGGCTGAGAATTTAATCTATTTTAATGAACCCTAGAGCTTAAACCCTCAAACTTATCTAAGCATTGGCCCAATATTATTTAAGAACTGATTTGGGGAACTGAGTCAGAAAACAGAGAAGCCTAGAGGAAAGAATAAGGAAGACACTATCTGAAAATGGTTTGATTATGGCAATTTTCCTGCTCACTTTCCTTGACTCTGTTCCCTGCTCCAACATAAGTGTTCCTGCTCTGAATTTCCTCAGAGCAGCCATCATTCTGTATCCTAGTTATGGCATTCTTGTCTGTCTGCACTCTTTAACGACAGAAAGTGGGTCTTACTCTCCTCTGGATACCCTTTACCTACCATAAAACCTAAATTATTTTAAGTATAAAATAAAAATCTGCTAAATGAGTGAATGAGTAATGGCAGGGATAGATTGGTAAAACAGGACTCTGTCGTGGAAAGTCTCCAATGTCATTTCACTTGTTCATTCTGTGTGCCAGGAAATG